CATATTCCCAGAACTACCTTAAGACGATACTACCGCCACATGATGAAAGAAGGTACTTCTGTGCACGATTTGCGTGAAAATCTTGCAGTCAAAAAGGATTTAATGAAGAGCAAAACAAAATTCTATAGTAGAGTACATCAAGGATGCATCAAACCTTCAGTTTGGTCTAACTCTAAAAGACGTCAAAGTACTGGCGTTCCAGTTCGCAAAGGCTAATAAAATAAAATATCCTATACACGGGACTCTAAACAAATGGCAGGAGATTACTGGCTGCGTTTATTCAGAAAACGATACAGAGAAGAAATCTCCCTTCGTAAACCAGAAGCCACGAGCTTGGCGCGTTAGTCGGCATTCAATAAACACACTGTTGAACTGATGTTCAATAATTATAAGAAAGCTCTGTCACAATACCCATCAGATTTACAAGTAGCTAATATTTGGAATATAGATGGGACAGGATTATCAACCGTGCACGTCCCTCCAAAAAGTCTGGCACCAACTGGAGTTAAGCAAGTAGGATCCATGACAAACGCTGAAATAGGAGCCACCGTTACGATGATAGATGCTTATAATGCCGGTGGAGGATTTATTCCAGCAATTCTTATCTTCCCAAGGGTCAATTTTAAAGATTTTATGATTTGTGGAGCACCAGATGGCACTGTAGGCGTTGCCAATCCATCAGGATGGTCTAATGAAGCCACTTTCGGGATGTTTATGGATCATTTCATAAAATTTGCAAGACCTTCTAAAGAGCGGCCTGTTATTGTTCTAATGGACAATCTCGAAAGCCATATTTCTGTTACAGCAATTCGCCTAGCCAAAGAAAACGGTGTCATTCTTGTTACGCTACATCCACACACAAGCAATAAAATGCAACCATTGGACAAATCAGTTTTTGAACCATTTAGAACATATTTTAATCAGGCAGCTAACGAAGAGCTAATGACACCTGGACACATAGAAAAACCATTGACAATTTATGATATTGCTGACTTGGTCGGAAAAGCATTTCCACCTGCGTTTACACCAATGAACATTGCGAATGCTTTCAAGGCTACAGGATTTCATCCACTAAATGAGAATATATTCTCAGATACTGACTTTTTGGCAGCAAACTTTTCAGATCGGTCTTTACCCCAAGAAATTTACACCCAGCCAGATCGTCTTTTGCAGTTGATCATCTTTGGCCCCCAGAATCTTGTGCACAGACTGGTAATTAGTTGACTCCAGAATTGGCCTCAAAGTCCTCTGGTCAACCTGAAATGTCCTTCCTCAACATTTCTAACAAACCTCATAAATTTGGACCAAGTTCATCAAGACTTATCACCCTTAAAATAATTTGCCCACATCCAAAAGCCGCTCCTCGAAAAGGAACACCTCGAAAAGGAACACATAAAGGTAGACCAAAAGACCAAATCTAGAAATCTAACGGATACACCAGAGAAAAATGCGTTGAGGCTTTAAAAAAGTTAAAAAAGTAGCTCTTAAAGATGATCGTAATTTAAAGATAGGCAAGAATAAGGAATAAAAGAAGACAGATAGAGTAAAATGAAAAGTTCTGATCCAGTCTGACTCTGAGGATTCAAACTATTCCGTC